ATATTGTACTTAAATCTATGGTAGCTAAAGCTCATCTTATTATCCCAGACGAGTCTATATACACATACGAGTACAACGACGGAAGCTACTGCGTGGCAAGTTAATCTCGTAGGGCTACGTGATATATCTCTTCTTTTCTCTTCTTCTTTTTTATCTTTCTTCATCCTCCATTTATTTTCAAGAGCTTTTTTTTTATGTGACAAGTTACCAAGCTAGAAGGTTGTTCTACACCCGAGGGTTGCAGATGCGTTGACGACCTTTTGAAAATTGTCCTCCGACTACCTCACTAACCAGATGAAACGCAAAATTATTATTCTTCCACTTTACGCCGGTCTTCTGTGAGGTCGTGGTACTTCGTGTTGGTGGTCGTGGTAATTCGTGTATCGGCTTCGGCGTCGGAGGTGGTGGGTTCGATTCCCACTCGGGACAACTATTTGTGAGACCCACAGATAGTTTTTCCACATCTAGGTGTTTGTTCGCGTGAAATTTATGTTTGTAAAAAGGTCCTTATAATACATGATAATGTTATCCTAAAGTAAGGGCAATGTTTTAAAAAAAACTTACCCGGACGAGCCTGACCGTTCGTGTAATAGCCGAGGCTGCTGCGTGGCCTCACCACAGCTTTATATATAAAGAACACTCATAATGACAACAAAACGATAGAATACTCCATACAGCTGCCAAACGATATATAATTGTCTACCGTATTAATTAATAAAAATGAATAAAATTTCAGAGTTTTCGAAGTTAGGCATTATCATCATCGCATACAATATTATACCTATCAGGGCTACCCTACAGCAATATCGTTAATTTACTTCCACTACACTCTGGTCTTCCGCGAAACTTCACTGTACTTCCCCGGGTCAGCTTGATCATTCATGCAACAGCAAAGACCGCAATAAGTGGTTACGTATTATTCATAGGCACTAGTAAGAATTTGTGTTTTTCGCGTCACTGTTTTTTTTTTTGCTCTGTTTACACGCGTTCACGTACAGCTTAGTGCGCAAGGAGATGACGTAACATTTGATGAATAATCGCTTCAGCGCATCGGGGCGTATACATTCCGTAAATGTAAGTTTTCGCGCATGTAAGGTTTCTCGCAAGAAATATAAAAACAAACTCCGATTGAAAGTAGTAGACTAAATGGTATACCGTCTAAGATCAATGAATAATTTATATGCGAATTTCACGGCACCGAACACCAATCTGACACATATACTTTTGTATGTGACTCATCCAAAATACTGTAAAGTTATATACTGCCCGTAGTTATGTATTATATATCACATAAGCCACTGGGTTTTTCTTAACTCTAAATCGCACAATGCGACGCTCTAACTCCCAAGCTCTGAACGAACAGTCCGTGTATTTTCAAAATGTCCTAAAATAACATTCGGTGTGGACTAATGCATCTTTTAACTGTAGGTAAGCGATAACATTCGGCTTAGCATCCCATTTATGTTTTAAACCTAAACATATGAATATCTGTATGTAAAATAAAATTGGAGAGCAGGTTTTATTCACAATAGTTCTACTTCCAAAAATAAGTTTTGTGTTTTAGATTTGTTTACAGTCCGAAGATATAGCTACTATGCATTTCTATACAGTCCCTTATAAGATGAAGTATTAACGGAAGCTGCTGAACCGTTGAGTCGAGAAAGTCTGTTGGCTTCTTGCACCAGTTGTCATATACACACGAAAGCAATGTTGAATGATATAAAAATATGGCTTGTACTGTAGTATAAAAAAAGTTGCACTGTAGTATACAGTGCAACTTTTTCAATATCATAAGTTTAAAAATAAAAAAAAATGGAAACCATGATTTATATATTTTAAACAAAACATAAAGCAGTAAATTCCATGAAATTGCATTCCTGCAAATGCAAAATAAACATAAATTTAAAAGTTTTTTATAGTGCTAATCTCTGCACTCAAGATTGAACATTAAAACATGTAGAAAAAGTTCGAAAAGATTGTCGCCGCTGTGGGAATCGAACTTTAAAATTTATAAAAAGCAATGGCGACATCTCTCGTTCGAATTATCGTTGTAAAACGATATTCGAAATTGTTTGTATGCTGGAAAGGATATAACAATAGATGCGCCAAGCATTGCTTCAAATGCTAAATAGCAATGTAGAATGAAGGCGTTAAGATTTTCGTCCTAGTGGCTATCAGCCGTTTAGCTCAGTGGCTAGAGAGTCACGCCGCGGATGCCGAAGACGTGGGTCCGATTCCCACAGCGGCGACAATCTTTTCGTACTTTTTCTACATGTTTTAATGTTCAATCTTGACTGCAGAGATTAGTACTAGAAAAACACTATGTTCATCACACATTATTTTTCCAGTAGTAGGGATAGAACCCTTTGAGGCAAGAAATAGATCGATAAACGAATTGGGTCGCATAATATAATGTAAGTTATCAAATTTTCAACTGGATATTGATACGCTTTCTAGCTGGCAATCGTTATCATTTAGTCATAGTTTTATTTTATTTTATTAAAACTATACATAACGTATAGATTATTTTATGAAATAAATAAATCCATTTGTGTTGTCAGACTGTCTGTAAACGAACAAAACAAAATTTTTCGCTCCGTTAGCGATCACTCGTATTTTCTTCGAGACCTTTTAGAACAATGAATATTTTCATGACCGGTTCATTCGTAAATAATTGATTAATTAATTTTTTGTGTCGCAAATAAGAAATAATCGCATTATATCTTTTTCTCAGATCAATCAAATTGAATTGTATTCTAATTAATAATTTATGAACAAAACCATTTAAAAATACCTGCCTTCGTATTCCTTTCCCGACTCATAAATATTTGTTCTTAGTAGTCAGAAGAAATTCCTACTAAGTTTCAATTAACACATTTTATGCCATTCAATTATAACACTATTACTAATTGATGTTACTAATTTTCTCTGAAAAAATTAGGAGAATGATATTTAAATCTGGGAATTTTGTATTAATACAATTAAAGTTTGTGATAAATAACGTTACTAAATCTATTTTAATCTCCTCTGTTCCTTGTTTTCTTTTTTTTTTTTTGTTATTGTGTATTTCTATAAAACATCGTAGGTATATCGTAGATTACGTCCACAACTGTGTCATCGAAAACACGAAGCTCCGGACAATAATCCGTGGGATAAATAAATACTACAATATATATAACATAATTTATATATGTCTTCACGGTGGTAGGGCCACGCGGCAGCCTCGGCTGTTGCGCGATAGGGCAGACTCGTCAAGATAAGTACCACGACCTCACAGAAGGCCGGCGTAAAGTGGAAGCATAATACTTTCGCGTTTCGTCTGGTGAGTGAGGTGGCCGGAGCCCAATTTTCAAAAGGTTGTCAACGCATCTGGAACCGTCGGGTGTAGCAGATGTCCATGGGCGGCGGTATTCACTTAACACCAGGTGAACCATGTGCTTGCTTGGAAACTTTTCACATGAAAAAAAAAAGCAAGTATTTCTGCTACGAACAACTAAGTTGATGCCAGCGGTATTTTACCTGTTGACCTACAAGAAGGTATAAGCCTGACTCACCATTACCATCAGATGGCGCGCCTGTTCGTTTGCGTTCTTTACCATAAAGAAATGAAACTTCACCATCTTAATATTGACCTATAAAATGCAAAATCGTTTTATAAACAACAAGACCTACTCAAAAATGTCCGGAAAGATTATTCATAAGTCATGCTGATACGTGATAACTTAGCGTCCAGCGCGTAGCGCAGACATGTAATCGTTTCGAATGACGAAAGCAGTTCGATTCAGTTTATATATTAAACTAGCGACCCGCCCCGGCTTCGTGCCGCCCACGTGTACAATGTATTATACCCTCGTGAATCACTCTATCTAGTAAAAAAGACCGCATCAAGATCCGTTGCGTAGTTTTAAAGCATACATAGTGACAGACAGACAGCGGGACGACTTGATTTTATACTATGTAGTGAAATTTCGGTATCCAAGTAGGCAGTTCACATGGTGTTAAGTGATTACTTTCGCCAAAACACATCGAAACACCAAAGGAGTTGCAAATGCGTTACTCATGGTTAAAATAGTGCCCCTTTATAGCACTAACCACACAAAACGCGAAAGTATAATACTTCTATTTCATGCCGATCTTCTATGAGGTATAAAGGCCCATTTACACGATGCCATTTTCTTGTACATGCAAGAACAATAATTGAATGCAATAAATTGCGCGCAATAATTGGTTAGACCATTTGTTGTTTAGACCATGCAACTTATTTATTGCTTCAATTTAATTGTATACAACAGGCAAGAAACTGGCACCGTGTAAATGGGCCTTAAAGGATCATCTGGGGACAGATGAGCCTGCTCATTCGTGAAATATATGTACGCTTCTATTATGACTTTTGTTGTACACTGTGGACAGCATTAATTTGCATCATAGAATGATTATGTTAATGTTGATTTAACATTTCACATTAAGAAGATATAAGCTGAAATCACTTAAGTATTAATTTTTAATCGTGTTTAACCCTTCAGACTCTCGTTCAGATTAACCCATGATAATTTAATATGATTTTGTCAGCTCGAGAAAATAAGAAAAAAATATTATCTTTTATTCTTATTTTTGATATAATTTTATCATTGCTAAAGAAATATAAATAATGCATATAGTATTGCAGAGCATTAAGCGCTTTTGTATAAAAGAATACAAAAAAATATATTGGAAAGAATAGATCAGACGCCTATAAAATTTCTTTTCTAAAAATTGTAATTTGTTTCTTTTCATAAATGTTTGTTTAAGATGGGCTTATAGACGACGGGCATTCACAGACAAATTTCACAAAAGCAAACGACTGTCTGTCCTTTAGAATTTTCCCATGTTGTGTGACCCAGATTGGTTACTTGTCCCGTACGGCATCGAACCAAAAGGCCGAGACGCCGAGCCGCCAATTGTTTATTTCGATTTTCTGCTGACACCGCAGAGCGCCTTCCGAATAATTACTGATTGGTTCAAATCGTCATTGTCTCCACCGACCAGTTTTTGTTGCGGACCCCTCGTTTCGGGCTACCTTGACGGGCGGGCGTGCTACCGCGGTGCTGCCCACGAAAGCCGGGGCTCTCGCTGCCTGGTGCTTGTCGCACTGCGCCGGCGCAGTTTCGCAAACCGCCAGTGCAGTGCCGAGGATCGCGCGGGGCGTACGCGACGGCGACGAAATCGTGGACGTGCATGAGTGATGAATGGATAATCCAGTCGCGGCGAGATTTACGAAATAAACGATCACCGTGAGTCAAATAGTAATTTAATTTCATTAATCCGCAGATTGTTTTGCATTTTCGTTGACGTTAGTACATAAGAACACGGACTACCGTCATTTTTAGTATATAATTTTATGATTAATTTATAATTTATATAAATTATTTATAAATATTATTGATACAATTTTAATGTTATGAAGTTAATTGTTACTGAAATTAATTTATACGTAAAACAGGTTTCGTACTATGTACGTTTAGAGCACTACTGATTAATTAATTTAATCATTAACTAATGAAGTTAAAACATTATACTCTCTCACATATTTCTCTTATTTTTTAAATAACATCGACGTCAAATTACTCCACGCCTGATTTAGAGTCATCGCGTTTATAGACGTTTGGTAGACATACGAGCGTCTGATGCGACAGCGAACTGGGTTATATTATTGACCAGCGATCCGTCCCAACGCGGGTGATTTTATATAGATATAAACCTTCCTCTTGAATCACTCTATCTAGTAAAAACAACCGCATCAAAATCCGTTGCGTAGTGACATCTTAGCATCCATAGGGACAGACAGACAGCGGTCGATTTTGTTTTACACGAAGCCGCCGTCGGCGTATCAAAGACGCAGGCAGCGTTAACCGGTTGCGTTGGGAAAGGTTGCGACTTGCGCCAGTTTGCTCGGTCTCGTGATAGATTCGAATTTGTCGTCCGCATTCATCTCGTGTGTGTACGCACATTTGGCTTCCTCAATCTCATTGTTAAGTTTTGCTCAGCCTTTTAGTTTTCCGTGACATTATCCAGTTCATAACTATTTATTAAAAGGGTGGCAACGCATTTGAAATCCTACGGGTGTTGCAAATGTCCAGGGGCAGCGGTTATTACTTAACGTCAGGTGAACCGCCAGCTTTCTTGCCGCCTAATATCAGAACAATATAACCTTAGCAAATGTCTCTACATGGTCACTATCATGACTGCTATATTACCGTAACAATGTCTAAAATAAGCCATGATGCGTAAAATTGATGAAATTTGCCTTTTTAGGTGGCCACTATACTTCTTAAAGCTAGGTGAGGGGCTAGGCTAGTCCTAAGAACACCGCGTGCTGATACTAAATCAATACCGTTGTTATATTTGACGCGTATAATTATTTATTTATTGCTTTTATATAGCTGTTCTAGGAAATCGTGATTATGCGAATGCCAAAGGTTAAGGTACCTTTCTGCAAACACTTATGTTACGAGTATATCGAACAGTTGGTTTGTATGTGACAAACTACACCATCCTGATTAACGTAGGTTAATTTTGATTCATATACCTATAAGTTAAAGTTTTTATTTAAAAAAATCTAATGTACATCAATGCGTTTTGCGAAATGGAAATAGAACGGCCACGGTTTGTAACTCACATGACTGTGAATTCATAAGCCTTGGAATTTTTAAAGAAAAGACTGCACCGGGGGAAATGCATTTATTTCAAGTAGATAGACAGCGTTTCGCAAAGTTTATCTATTTTAAAGAGACGGCTCTGTAAACCTTGTAAACCAACGCTGTAAACTTACGTGCAGCAAAGACGAAGGTTCCGGCACTTAATAGAAACGAAAAACACAACTCGTGGAATTAAGGTCACAAGTCAGAACTTATAGATATTTTAACCATCACTAACCTGATCGTAAAATAACAATGTCCATAAATGTAAACATAAAATTTTATTTTTACTGTTCTTCTGTACTGGTGTTGCATTAATTAGCAGGCTCGTTCGGGGAGGTAGCTAGGCGTTACAGCAAACCGGTATGAAGTGGAAATAATATTCAAGCATTTTTTCTGGTCAGGAAGTAATTTAGGTATACTATTTTAAAGGTTGGCTTCGTATCTGCTAATCTTCGGGTGCTATAGACACCGATGAACAGCGGCCATCACTTAACATCTGGCGAATCACCTTGCTTGCCAATTTTTCACATAAAGTATTATGGATATTCGTAACAACGAAGCAAAGACGGCTATAACTCAAATGCGTGGACAAAATTTGTCCTTTCCTCGATCCTGACTTCGTTCGCCATTTCCACACCCATATTATACTATAATCTATCGACATGCTTAACCCCTTTATGAGAGACAATTATCTAACACTAAAATTAATGATTCCAAGAAATACGAAAACTCATTGATGTACTCTGTTACAATTCTCTCAGACCACGAGTCATCTATGGCCACTGGGTCAATGATCTGGGTCTGGGTTTATGAGATGACATAAATCTTGAATTAACTTAATGGAATGATTTATAAATGAAAACAGCATACGTTTTCCATCGAAATTCATAACGTCGTTTTAAAATCCAATATATACAGACAAGGAATACAACACAATGTAAGGTCAATTCACGTTACCAATTGCTGAAGGTCATAGTTTTTAACGTTAAGTTTATGCTTGTTTATCCTGCTAGGTGCTTGTGTTAACATTTTTTTTTAACATTTTAAAACATATAAATGTTATTTATAATTTAACATTAACTTATAAAAGTTAATGAAAGACTTGCGCGACAAGCTTAACTTACTTTTCATTTTTCCTAGCGCCTATTTAAAGTAAATAAACTATTGTGAGTTTTGTATACAAAAGTCACTTATTTATTTATTTATTTATACTTTATGCACAAGCTGTACAGAGGCGGACTTAATGCCACAGGCATTATCTCCCAGTGAACCTTGGGGTGGTACAGAGAAGAACTTACTTCACTGAAACAAACAATCCTTGGGAATAACATGGAATAAATAATCTTTTCACTAACGAGATGTTTGTTTTGTTATAGAAATAAATTAAATATAATTAATAAATTAACAGGCCTCTTTGTACTACACATTTAGTTTAGATAGAAAAACCATGCGCCATTCGAGCATCGTCACGAGCACGGCTCGAAACAAAGAAAACTAGTTACAATCACAATACATTAATATTTACTGCAAGTTCATGTTACATATTATGAGGAAAAGTCACAATGCACTTGCCGCTCCGAATGTATTGGTTTTTTCTAATTGCGAATAGTCTATTTACAGTTATAACCATTTACAAACAACAAACGCCTAGCCCAGTATTTGGCTCACCTTTCTACTGAGGCAATGACCCGGAATTCGATATGTAATAAATATTATAATCATAATGTTCAATTTCCATTCATATGTTTCAGTAAAATAATTTCTACAATCTTCTTCATTGTTTTACTTTTTTCTAGCTATTATGCAAATAAAAACGTTTAAAACATTTATAAACTCGTGCCATTTCGATGGTGTTTAAAATTAAGGAAGTGGTTGTCCATTAGCAATGACTAGGCGTTAATTCTTAAACATAAATCAAATCAAATCAAAAATGTATTTATTCACATAGACGCTTGCGCGTTCTTATGAAACGCCAACATTTTTCATAAAAAATTATACGTTCGCAAATAAGCTGCCACCGGTTCGGAAAGCAGTTTCTGTTGAGAAGAAACCGGCAAGAAACTCAACAGTTGCTCTTTTTTTAAAACGATTAGTTTACAATATAATAGCATACTACTGTCGAACTAGTACACAATATAATAGCATACTACTAGTACTACTGATAGTTCGATAGTTCGAAATTTTCACAGATGATGTATTTCTGTTACCGCAAAACAACTACATTGCTAAAAACCTTATTAAAAAGAAATTTAGTGGGGCTCCCATACAGCAGTCATTATATTTTTCCTGGTTTTGGTACGGAACCCTTCGTGCGAGCATCCGACTCGCACTTGGCCGGTTTTAATGCAACCTTGCAAGCTTATTTATAAGCTTGAAAAAAAAGTTATATGCTTCATATTATATATATACCACGTTAAGTAGAAAAAAACGGACGGAATCACTAAGCCGTATTTTTCGCAATGAATAATTTAAATAAAATCTACAATGAATAACCATTCATCAAAATGTGATTGTTTTTACGTAAATGGTCCAAAAAATTTTCAGCGTTACGGGATTTGAACCCGTCTCTTGCAGGTTACGCGCTCAGACGTTTTAACAAAGCCAAGCGGTCGATGACATCATGACAACAATGTTTAATTCAACAATCACATGTTTACAAAATGTATTTGTGCACGTGTGTAAACAATCGTTATCACACTCCTAATTTGCTCAATTTAAAGATATTTAAATAGCAAATTCTAATTAAACTTTAATGTGTTCCTATGTTTCCCCTTTCAAATCATGTTCCTACGTAGTTGGCTTGCTTAAGTTCGCTTACTACGTAAAGCTTCGACTTTGAAGGGAATGGACTACATTTTCAACAGTCATGAAGAAAATTAACCGCTTTAATTCGTAGTAGTTGTTTGTAGACGGAGAACGGCTGAATCAAATTCAATTTCAAATATCTTTATTCAACATAGAAGTACTGCACTTACTACTTATTTTTGAACTGCCATATTGATTATGATTACCGATTGTCAAAAAATACTAATACCGTGAAAAATCTAGAATGTCTAGTCATTCTAGATTTGACGGAACACGTCTAGAGGCTCGCACCACCAGACTACCAAAGTATCTTAACCATGAAAAATAATTGAGTCATAGTGGTTTGGACGGCCCCGTGATAAATGCTCAGGGAAAATCTCAATTGTATATATCTATTTTATTGCCCTTGAGGTAGTCAGCACGTGGTAATAGTGGATTTGTTATACCAGTACCTATACAGCGTGTCGTTACCACCGCGACAATAAATTAACACATGTCTAAGGCTACTTGCCAATAATCATAAAAAATATAAACATTTAAAAGAATCCATACTTTAAAAAATAATTTTCAAACAAATTAATTTAAAAAAAAAGAAACAAAATTTGTAACATCCTATACAAGTACAACTGACTTAGTCATACATTCAGAAACTTTTTTATTCGTTGCCGCAGCGTCGCACTACAAATCTCTCCTTCTAACTGTATGCTTCATCTCTTTCAAATTCATTCAACACA